CAATCTATATTGACAGTCAGACAATATATAATCATAACTTTTAATCTTTCTTGATTGTTATCAAAATAATCAGTCCAATATAACAACAGTTCATTAAAGGGTAGGCATTTCCTAGGCCTAAAGCCTTCCATTCGAGCACGAGGTTGGGCTGAGGAGCAGCTTAATGATGCTGTTCTTGCTGGTGCTCAGGTATCTTGAGGGACTTTGCTTCTGCTCCTACTGAAGTAACCAGCACCATAGAAGTAGAGGTTACTGTGAGTGTGAGTAAAAACAATTCCTCCTCCGTACACACATCATTAAAGGATAAACTGTGATTCAAGGCTGCAAGAGATGTACAAATATAGAGTTGTTTCAACTCCGCATTAATCTCATGGCCTCAGAACAGCCAACACCAATTGTTTATTGATGAATGGATTTCTGTTTCTTATTTTTGTTATTTTTCTAAAAGCAAGATTTGTATTCAAGTGAAGTAAACATCAAATATTCACTATAACAAAGAAATTAAAGTGTTCAGGTAACTTAAGGACATGCTCAAGATAAAATTAAAAGTAAATGAGAACCATATAATTGCTAATTGTTCCTCCTTGGACAAAGTTTGAGTGACTCAAAGAGAGCCAAAACATGAGGCCAAGGTTAATGCGCATCCTGAGATGTATACTCCTGGCTTTTCCTCTTTGGGAATGGCACTCAGTTAAAAGAAAAAGATGACAATTATTCAAAGTCAAGAGGTATCATCATTTGAATTTCAACAAAGTTCTTCTTTCTGATGTTCATTAGTTTTTGTTTATTGCACACTTTCTTTGGCCAGGCATTTTCCTATACCTCTAGACTCCATATTTTATAATATTTGATCCCAAGAAACAGAGGCTTAACACCTCTGGCAAACAGACAGTAAAGGCAAATTCCGGAAGATTTAGGTAAAGAAACTTGGGAAGGTCAAGCAAAAATTAGTAGTTTTCATCATTTTTGAATCTTTAAATTTTTAATATGTGACTATGTGGAAGATTTCTTTGCTTAGAGTTTGAGAACCTCTTCCCAGAATAAGAATTTTGTTTTATTTCTTTAGAGCTTTCTTCACTTTTACTATAATTGAAATTGCCCATACTTAATTAAATGTCAAAGTTCTAATATAATTATTTTATGAATAATTATACTAGCTGTCTTCTGTTTTAATCACCCTATCACTGTTTTGAACATTGATGACTATCTTAAAATGTTGACTTATGGGCTTTATATAATTTCATGACAATTTAAACCAGAAATAAAATATTTTAATATCGAAACTAATTCCTCATAATAAAATATTCCCTAAATACTTTTTTCTTAACATGATCTTTCATTACATAGAGTACAGAAATGTACTGCTTTCTAGAGTCCCTAGTATGCCTGCTCTTAACAGAAAGCAATGAAAAATGTATCCAAAATTATTAATAATTCATCAATACACTATATTTGAAAATATGTAGACTTTGGGATATTTGCAAGATAGGGGCTTTATAAAAATACTATCATTTAAACTTTTTCATCATTTAAAAAACAAATGGTAAAACATAGATGATCTGAGAAATACTGAGAAAAATCCAAAATTCAAACATTTTCATTTGTTGAATTATATATATATGTGTGTGTATGTTGTTATACAACTGTAATAATATAATACACAAATTAGGAATACTTTTCCAACTTAACATATTATCAGAAACATGTTAGCTTAAAAAGATTCACTCAAATGTCCTATGAGAAGTCTAATTTTGGAGGTAGACTGATTCCTATTCCAATGTGTTACTTGCCTATTAGTTCAGATGATTGGGCCAGGCAACAAAATTGATGAAGGTTTGTGGTTTCAATTTCTGGGCAGGCCAGTTAGTGTTACTCTGTTTCATGGCCACATGAAGGGACTAAATGACTTACAAAGAAAATGTAAATGCATTAGTGTGAATTTACCTCTCTGTGGGATGGGAAAAAAAATATCCACAGCACAAGACCTAAGAGTGTGTCAATACCTGTCATTAGTGTCAGGGTGAAAAGAAATGAGAAGAGGAAAAATCTTGACTCTCCAAATACCAAGTTTGAGTGCTACATAGCTTTCATTTCCACAATAAAACATAATGACCTGCCTTTTCTTTTTATAGTGACAATTGAAGGGCTCATGCCTATCACCTGCCTGAAATTATTGTAAGCCTGGTGGGAAGCATTTGAGGAGGGATAGTCATGTTTTCATTTTACTAGGAAATCATTTAGCAAATTACCACTGTTCTCTAAATTACTATGCTGCATAACTTTCATACTGAGGAACTATTTTCTCTTTCCATAAAAACTGCAGATGAAAAGGTTCTATAATAAATAACTTGTATTTAAGACAAACCAATTCCTAGAATTCACAGGATACGATACAGCATTTCTCAGGTGGAAATAAAAACATGTATGTTTTATTGCTAATATTAAACAATGACATATTCTCCAGTAAAGTCAGATTTTCATTTATTATTTGTTTATTTTGCTGTACTTTCAGGTGAATTTGTGCAGGCTTCTAAGGATGAAATAACAAACTAAATGCTTATTTTTGGAGGAAAAGGGTGTTTAAGCTTAAGTTTTCAGTCTTAAAAAGAACCTAAAAGTTAGTGATCAACCTAAATAGAACACCATTTTGGGAGAAAACAGAATTTATTATGCCTAATCTTGTTGAGGATGTCAATCTGAAGGAAAGTATCTCAGTTCTTTAAACTTTGCATTGAGGTAAGAGTCCCAAAATTAATCCGGAGAAATATAGCCTTATCCCCATAACCATTATTACTAGAGGGTCACACTTCAAATCTGGTTATCGTGCTAATATGGCAGTATGCATATTAAAGGACTAATTCCTCTGGCCTTTTCCAGAAGTACTTTGATAATTGAATACGAAACTAGCTCATTTCATTTCAGTGTCAATAAGACAGAAGAGCAGAGGCAGAAGAAGCAACTCCTTAGAAAATGAGGTCACATTTCAGTACTCCCTTTTCATAAATGAAGGACTTGGAAAAAAATACAGTGACTGATTTTTCATAAAGACTAGTGAATAGTAAGTACATCCCCCCAAAGTTAAAGATTATGACCCATAAGCAAAATGTTTCATGACAGAAAGGTCCAAAAATAACAACTAAAATAGGTGAATTTTGAAATTAAGGCCCTAGAACTATTGGAACTAGACTTAAGTACCTGATATTTGAATTCATAGTTGAACAAAGTTGTAGCAAATGAGGAAACGATTTGGAAAAATAACATAAATATGGTTTCAGTGTTACAAATAAAAGGCTTGAGAAAAAGGTTAAAAGAACTGTTATGTTTCATTTTGAAGATGAATAGACTAAAGCAATTTTTAATCATTTCCTTCCAGCCTTTTTCTACCAGTATTCCTCATGTAAGCCACAGAATAAGAAAATTCTTTAAGTGACAATTTTTTTCAGTCCTCCTACGAGTGTGCATAACTACTACTTTTCTGATACATCAGAGTGAAGTAAATTAGTTACATACAAGCATACGTATCTTAGTTCACCGGGGCTTAATTCTCATGTGTAATAGAAGTTCATAAAAATTGGATACATAGTGGACCATTAACTAATGCTGGCAAGATATCTGGAACCTAGAAAAATGCTTTTTAAAAGCAGGAGATGTATAAGTAAGATAAATCAATAAACAAATAAATAAATAGTGAATTTCCTAAAGATAAGTTGATTAGCGTTATGATAGTTGATTAAAGAAAATTGTGCAACTTCCTTCTTCCAAAGATTTTGAAATTTGGATTTACTTTGAAACTGGGCAAAATATAGGGGAATGAGAGGAGGCAGAGTTTTTGTCCCAATCTTAAAAATGCAACTGTTTGGGTCTCCCGGTGAGGTACTTTTCAAATGGCAAAAATGAGGAAGTTCTGAGATTGGAAAGGGAAAGAGGAAGGCATGATAACAAAGCTAAGAGGCAGTAGGCTGAGATCCATTTCTTCTCTGAAGAAATCACCTCACAACACATAGAAATACTCCTCTACTGTAGGGTGGGGGTCAGACAAAGAGACTTGACATTGACAAGGAAAACTGATGCTAGAAGAATCTTGAGAAGCTGTGCCTTAGGTTCTTTAGGAATATTTTTTAATTTATATATTAATTGGTTCTAATATTAAATATTTGCTTCTAACAGATCAAGCTTTTTGAATATAAAAAGTATTTTAATAACACAATTATCAATCTAAACATAACTAATTATTATACAGAACTACAGAGATATGGAAGACAAACTAAATATTTATAAGGTAGATTCAGTGGCCATTTTATTGTTGTACTCTCTAAAGGCATTGTTTTCTTATGTCTATAGGAAAAGTCCAGATCCTTAAAGTTTTAATAGTTAAATTCTATCCACTTGAAGTCCTACTATACACTGTTGCCCATTGTAATTGCATATTCATTAATTCACATGATGATTCTGGAATTATTCAGAAAGTCCACTTTTGACTTTGTACATTTAAACTATCAATTACTTTTCTTAATGCTAATTTAAGAAGTATTTGGACAAGGCAGCAGTTATACTGTGGATACAATCTGCTTTCTCTGGCAACTTATTAATGTAAAATGGGAGTCCATACTGATCTTTGCTTGTGTAGGTACTTCACATGGATTCTATGAAACTGCAAGTGAGCAATTAAGAGCAAACTTGGCCTTTTATTTATTTTTTGGTACTGGGGATTGAACTCAGGACCTTGCACTTGTGAGACAGGTGCGGTGCCACTGAGCTAAATTCCCAGCCCTAAACTTGGTATTTTAAAGAGTAATAGATTGAGTATTTGAGTGTGAGTGTGAATATCTCATATATAATATATATAATATCACATATATAATCTTTTATTTGCAGGCATTTTCATTGTAATGATTTCAAGGTGGGAGCAGTTGAAATAGGATAATGCTTGAAAGTGAGTTAGTACATGAATAAAACTTTTCTTGGCTTCTTCTAACTCCTGTCTTTTTTTCCATTTATAGTTATTGAAGAAGAAGAAAATGAATCTGTGCCCCTATCCTTAAGCCCAGACCTATCCTTAAATAAGTCACAGTTAGATAACTGCCCAAGGGACTCTGGTTGTTATATCTCATCAGGAAATTCAGATAATGGCAAAGAAGATCTGGAGTCTGAAAATCTGCCTGACATGGTACAGAAGATTACTATCACAGAGTCAAGTGACTGAACGCACATTCTCACCTGATATCTACACATGCGTTCCACTTTAACTCTTCTTGTGCTTCATGATCAACTGGAAGAGGAAGAAAGATATTTGTAAATATAACTCAAAGTTAAAATGTTTTCATCTGAATGATTATACATAGAAGTTTATATTTCAAACTTTCCTAGTTATTATAAATAAAATGTATATTTATTATAAATACTATGCTAATATTTCACTTACCTCTATTAGAAAAACTTTCAGTGTAAGGCTTTGATATGTATGACATTTGCTTTATTTGGCTTACTTTACGAGTTTAAAATGATGAAATCTGATGGGGAAAAAAAGCATTTTTTTTTGCACCTTCCAGTATTGACTTTTTATGTATTATTGAATCAGTTTGCCCAAGATGCATCTTATACTCACTTTTGTATTTATTAGGAAAATGTGAGTTACTGTCGGGAGCATTTTATCCTGATCCATAGTAGTTTTAATAATTATTTTTGCTTATTTCTTTAATACATTATCTCATGTAGAATACAGATAATACATTGTCACTCTTGATTTAGTAAAACTACTTTAATAATTATGTAGTTGTTTTGTGTTCAAGTGTAAATATGTTTAAAATATGACATACCCTAATGTTAATAATAAAAAGAACTATATGCATGTTTTATTTTCCCATCCTGTATTATTTAAGGTATTTTAATAGTAGACTTAAAAAGAAAATTCTACCTATCAAATAAGGTTACATAGTTGGTCTTCATTTTTTAATATTAGTGATTCCCAAATCAATTATGTCAGCCTCAATCAATGTATTTAACCTCATCTATATGTTATATAACTTCAATACTCCCAGAAAACATCAACTTGACAAGCTCAAATCATTGATTTTCTCTAGAAAATTGTCTCTTTATCCCCAATCACTCCTTAATGATGCAGCACCCAGACAGTCATTGAAGTAGAAAGTCATTTTTCTCTTTACATCTCATATATCCTTCCTATATAAATCCAGTAAGTAATCAAGTCTTAAACATCCAACTCTGAAAGTACTTTCATATTCATGACTTCTAATCAATTCTGATGGTAGCCTGACTCTTTGGAGTCTCATGTTCTCATATGTAGGATGTTGCAGTATCTTTCCAGTCAATCTCCTACCTTCTGACCCATCCTCCACACACAGGGCCTCCAGAAAAAGCTTTCTAATGTGTAAATAAAAGCAAAAATCTCTCTACTCGAAGGTTTTTTATGGCCTATCATTTATCTTTAGTATAATATCTAAACATTCTTCCATGATGTGTAAAGTATTTCTCAACAACGTTTACCTACTTTATGAGTCATATCTCTACCCTCATTTCTCAGCCTACACTCTAGCCATAACAACTCTCTTGCATTTTTCCAAATTTACTATTTCTTTCATGACTTTTAATATGCTATTTTTTTTCTGGAATGTTTCCTGATGTTTTCAACATTGGAAGCGTCCCTCTGTTCTTTGTCTCAAAACTATTACAAAAGAGTCACTAGGAGCCTGACCAGAGAGGAGCTGCACAGGCACATGGGCTCCCATTCCATCCCTAAGTCCTGATCCCTGGCAGATACCTGGGAGCAGCTTTGTGGCCCAGACCAGCAGGCTGATGCCAGCTGGGGCTTTGCCCTGACCCCAGAGGCTTGGGCATACCTACCCAAGCCAAAAGCCCCCCCAGAAAGGTGCTGCACAGGAACATGGGCTTCATACAGAGGCTTGCCATACCATCCACCACTGCCAGGGACCCAACTGGAGAAGAGCTGTACAGGCACACAAGCAAAACCCAGAGGCTTGCCCCGATACCATTTATAAGTGCCTGGAGACCCTTGCCAAAGCCTGTGCAGACAACAGAAACTGGGGTGCACAGCCCCCAACCATAGGCCCTCCCAGACAATAGCTACATAAGGGCCCCAGTGAGAGGCATGACTAGATACCATCTCAAGAGTGCTCAGGCCCCGGCCAGAAGCTCACCCATACAACAGGTCAGCTCAGGAATCTAGAAGGCCACCACTCTGAACCCAGGAATTGGTATACTGGTGAAAAACAGAGTAAAGGCTGTTCAGAAGCTTGCTGAGAATTCAAGACCACTGGGTGAGCAAAAAGTCCCCTCAACAAAGACACAGCAGGCTGCATCTGTTGAAATGAGAAGACATGTAAATAAGTCCCCAAACCAGACTTCCAGATCACCTAGGAGAATCCCAAAGGGCAACCAGATAGAACAATCTGATACTCAACCACCAGGACTCCCTGAACTGCCAATGAAAGGGGACCTAGAAAAAATGAAATCAGAAATAATTTCTCAGATAACAACAGAGATTGTGCCCATAGTAGAAGACATGATTGATAAATCTAGAGTAGACACAGATAAAAAAATAGAGGAGCTCAGGAATATTATGGAATCCCAAAATGAGAAACAAATGGAATCCATAAAACAGATGCAAATATTTCCAGGAGATTAAAGACTCCACTGAAAGTTTACACAGCATAATGAGCCAATGTGAGGATAGTATTTCAGATAAAGAAGATAGAATTGCAATTAGTGACCAGGAAAAGAAAACTTTCTTAAAACTAGTAAGGGACTTTGAGAAATCAATCCAGCACCTGCTAGACAATACAAACAAGAATAATATTAGAATGTTTGGAATCAAGAAAGAAACAGGAGAGAGTGGAGATGACATAAAAAAAAACCTGTTCACAGAAGTAATGGCAGAAAAATTCCCAAATAGGGGAAAAGAACTTGACATAGAGATAAGTGAGGCATATAGGACTCCAAATAGCCATGATCAAAGAAAATCTACACATAGGGATATAATAAGATTCCAGAAATGCAACAAAAGAACAGGGTTCTACAAGCAGTTAGAGAAAAGAAAGAAATCACATACAATGGAAAGCCTATCAGGATCACAGCAGGCTTCTCAACAGAAACCCACAAGGCAAGAAGAGCATGGAGTGACTAAAGGAAAACAACCTCCAGTGCAGATTGATGTAACCTGCAAAACTGTCTTTCAAAATTGATGGAGAAATAAGATACTTTCATGACAAAGAGCACCTTATGAAACCAGCACTCCACAAATTTTTAAACAATATCCTAGGAAATAACAATGAGGATCACAAACCCAGGAAGCCCTGCAGAATGAATCCATCAGGCATGACAAGAAATTAAATGCAAAGGGGGAGAATCCAACAAAAAGAAAAACTCATGATAAGAAAAAGTCAATACATAGCAATTATAACCATCAATGTTAGGGTCTCAATTCACCAGTCAAAAGAAATAGATTACCAGAATGGGTCAAGAAAAAATATTCAACAATATGTTTCAGATAAGAAACACAATTCAAAAAGAAACTCATAGACTGAAAGTTAAAGGGTGGAAAAAAATACTCCATGTGACAGGAACCCCCCCC